TGTTTCCCTTCTCTTTGCTGCTCTTCCTTTTAAATCCTCATGTCTTCTCATGCTTGGGGAAAACTTCCCTTTTCAGCTCAGGGCCTTTTCCTGTAGTGCTGGCTCAGGTTACAAGTCTATAGAAACGTATACACAGACACCGTGTATCTATTCCTGAGACAAGGCAGTCTGCTGCAAAACAGAAGTTCGGCAGAGCATGAGAACAGATACAGATTTGAAAGGAAGAGCAGCAAAGAGAAGGGAAACAACCATGGATTACAGTAAGCCACACATTACAGTATTGTTTTATGTTAAAAAAACTGAGGGTTTAATGTCACTTTAAGGAGGGAGATCTCAGAAGAAGAATGGGGAAGAATTCTTAATATGACACATTGCTCTGTTAAATCTACATTTTATCAGGAAAAAAACTATAAAATTCTCTTGAGATGGTATAGATGCCCAGAAGGAATTAAACACATAAACCTAGAGCGGGGTCATCTGGCAGTCTCCAGCCACCTAAATTAGGACCCGGAGACTGCCAGATGACCCCGCTCGGAGCGCCGCACACCGAGCAGCAGTGACGCGACGCTCGGCGAGGTAAGTAAGAAGATGCGCTGGCGCTGACTCGAGTATAAGCCGAGGGGGGCACTTTTCCCCCAAAAAAATGGGCTGAAAATCTCGGCTTATACTCGAGTATATACGGTATATAAATTTATATGTATTTTGAAATTTTGAAATAAAAATATATTAACTCAAAAAAAATGTTTATCAATCAAGTATTTTTAGGATAAAATACACTAAAATTAAATTTAGTGCACAGAAACAGAATATAATTGCTAATTTTTTGGTAAAATATAAAAGTTGGTGTCACGTCAGGCAAATAGATACCAAACATGTCAAACCGCAAAAAAACTACAATAACCAAAATCTCGCATAGGCGACGCTTTAAATGCTTTTATGGCTCATCAGTTTAGCGCTGTCAGTGATTGATGGGCCAAGAATTATTGCTCTCACCCTGACGCTCGCGACGATATGCAATATGTGTGGCACAACTTTTGTTCTTGCACGTAGGCACATACAACACATGCTTGCGTTGTATGTGTGTGGACATAGGGAACGGGGGACCTTAACTGCTTGCCATCTGCCCGTTGTGAAATAATGGACGGCAAACTCACATGAGCGGGTTGCCGTAATTAGATGGCTTTTTTTTCTTCTCGCGCGTGCCCCCCAGTGCGTGCACGCGCAGAAAAAAAAACTTGTCCGTCCTGAGGAGCCGTTACCGGCTGACTGACATACAAACGATCAGCGGCTCTATAGCCACCAATCGCTTGTATCTTGTGGCTGCGTGCCCCCCTCCTGGAATGCTGCCTCCCCTCATGCACCTTCACCTTCAATCCCAGGATCCGCTATCCCATCTGCGGCCCGGGACCAGCTCGGGAGGGTGTCAGGAGGAAGATGGGAGGGAGATCAACATCTTCCTCCTTGCTGATCTCCCTCTGTAGTGTGAATGCGGCAATGATGTGTATTATATCACTTCCACATTCAACTGTCAGTCCTCTGGCTGCTAGAGCCAGAGAGAAGAAGCTGATGAAGCAGAACCCTGCTTTATCAGCTTCTTTGGGGGTCCCCAGGTGACATTAGGGGTCTTATAGACCCCTAATGTTTCCATAAAGAGGACCTGTCAGTGTGCCTTTGCTATTATATAGAGGTATTGTTATCCCCCTATGGGGTCTATTCACGAAGCAGCCGAAGGATTTGCCGTAGCTTCGGCTGATCCTTCGACTAACTTCGGCCCCAGGACCCCTTTGGTTCAGTAGAACTGATGGGTTGCTGTACGGGCTATTCACTGTAGCCCGTACAGCTCCCGAAGTGGGCCGAGTGGCTCAGTCGAGCTGAAGGCATATGCCTCGGCTCAACTGAGTCGAGGTGAAAGCCGAAGCTGGCCGAGCAGCCTTCTTCTGACAGCTGGGCGGAGCCAGCCGTGATCTTACGGCTGGCTCCGGCCACTTGCAGAGAGATCAGCGTTCCTGGTTACCAGGTAACCAGGGACACTGATCTCTAGACAGCCTAACTCTCCCGGGATCTCCGGGAGTCTCCCGCTATTAGATAGCAGCTCCCGGCCGCCTGGGAGAGAAACACTTTCAAAAGGAAAGTTTTACTCTGCTCGATTGAGCAGAGTAAACCTTTCCCTGCTTTTGTTTTTATTCTGACATCGAGCCATTGGCTGCTGTCAGAATTAAAAAAAAAGAATATTCACCATAGGAATGCATAGCTAGATTCCTATAGGCTATTTCAAAAGAAAAGTAAAAAAAAAAGTCACATATAAAAGAAGTAAAAAAAAATATATATATATTTAAGTCCCCCACGTTTACGCACATATAAGTGTAAATACGGGTCAGATGCGCCAATGTGCGAAAACGACAATCGTGCTACACATGTTACATATCGCCACAAACATTGGAGTGAGAGCAATAAATCATCAATCACTGATAACACTAAACGGATGAGCTGTAAAAGTTTTTAAAGCGTTGCCTATGGCCAATTTTGAGTATTGTAGTTTTTTGAGGTTTCGAACGCTCACGCAATTTTAAGGCTTAACATGTTTGGGGTCTTTTTACCCAACGTGCCCCCGACTCTTATATTTTACCAAACCAATAGGGTAATAATAAATGTTTTATAATTTAATATAGGAAAAACAATTTGTTGTTTTTTTATTTTTCCTTACCATAGTAAATATTAAATACAACCAAAAGAAAGCTCTATTTGTCCCCCAAAAAATGTATTTCAGTACAGTGTTGTATGACGGAATAAATGTCATTCAAAGTACTGCATACTGAATACTGAAAAATGGCCGGGACAGGAAGAGGGTGTAACACCACGGACTTCAAGTGGTTAAAGGAGAACTATGGGGTTAAGGATTTTCCCCATAGTTCTCCTTAGGGTAACGGGAAGACACAAACTAGCATCCTCCCGTCACCCTAGGCTCAGTATACCGCGATACTGAGGAGCTGTAGCTCGCGGTATACTGAGTCGCCGCAGCTGAAGTGGATCCTGACAATTATGTCTGGATCCGCTCAGCTGCGTGACTGA